GGGCTGGCTGAGTGGCTCAGTTGGTTAAGAGTTAGCTTAAGAGCACTATCTCTGAGCAACAGGGCCTCTGGTTCGATTCCCACAGGAGCCAGTGACGCTGCACCCCAAGCTGAGCTGCCGCTGAGCTGCCAACAGGCGGCAGGATGGCTCAGCTGGTGAGAGCACGTGCACCTAACAACAAGACTGCCTGTTCGATGGTGGGCTATGCCCACCTGCAACTAAGACTGAACTCAGCACCTTGAGCTGAGCTGCTGCCCAGATGGCTCAGTGGTTAGAGTATGCGCTCTTGACAACAAGGCTGCCAGTTCAATTCCCACATGGGATGGGGACTATGCGCACCTGCAACTAAGACTGAACTTGGCACCTTGAGCTGAGCTGCTGCCCAGATGGCTCAATGGATAGAGTGTGTGCTCTTGACAACAAGGCTGCCAGTTCAACTCCCGCATGGGATGGTGGCTACACCCACCTGCAACTAAGATTGAACACAGCACCTTGAGCTTAGAGAGGCCACAAGCTGCCGAGGGGCAGGTAGATGGTAACTGGCGCCCTCCACAACTAAGACTGAAGAACAACAACTTGGCTGGTCCCCTTCCCCAATTCCCCAACACTGTTCCCGTCCCCTAATTCCCCAATTTAAAAAATAATAATAATAATTAGTTATTTTTTTAAAATAGAGCACTTATCTTTTAGAGATACATACAGGGATATCTATGGATGAAATGGTATGATTTCTAGGATCTGCTTCAAAATAATCCAGAGCAGACAGAAGAGGATGGGTAGATATGGCTATGCCTACAGACTGGCCATGAGTTTACAAACGTTGAAAGTGAGTAATGGATACCTGACAGTTCACTATACTGTTTCAATTGTGCATGTTAGAAATCTCCCATAATACAAAGTTAAAAAGAAAGAATGAATCAGTCAGGGCACGCTTGGGCCCCACTCCTAAAGATTCTAATTTGTTGGTCTGGGTGAAGCTTGTATAGCATTATTTTTCAAATCTCCCCAGGGGATTCCAACTTGCAGTTAAAGAGTTAAGAACCATTAGACTGGCATCATATAGCCCAGTCCAGCCTCTTCAGTAAGATGACTAAGGAAACAGTCAGAGAGGCTTCACAGCATCTCAATAATCTCAGTTGCTGTGTCATTTTGATCAAATAACCTAAGGATTTACGTCAAAGATTCTCCACCAGGGAAGCACATCCTTCCCCGCCCTACCTCCTCCAACCCCAGAGGGCACATATTAGGATCATCTGGGAAGCATTTTCAAAACTAAACACACCCCTTGACGATTCTGCCCCTGGCTCCCCTAGAATAGATTCACCCCCGGGAGCCTCATAATCTGGGCAATGGCTCCTGTCCTTCAAGTGTGCTAGGGGAGGGGCAGGGAGCCCTGCCGGGAGCTGAGGTGTGCCCGCATCTACCTGTGTCTGTTCCTCTTGCCCAGGTCTTCCTCCTCAGGAACAGGGTCAATGTCCGGTAGAGGGATGATGTAGCCACTGTCTGCGCTCAGCCTCTGCTCATCGAGGCCACCCTCCCAGTCCTTCAGCTTGTCTTCCTCATTTTTGTAGGTGACGCCGATGTAGGTGTTGTCAGCGTCCACGCGCATGCGTGCCACGGCGGGATGGTCGCTCTTCAGGAAGTCCAGGTGAATCTTTTCATAACTCTACAGACATTCATTTCACATAATTAATCGAATGTTATTGACCAAACTGCAAAAAAGAATACAGACGCTCAAACTACCTCATAGATGTGGCATTTAGACAAATGAAAGAGAGTCAGATGTAAACTCTCCCAGAGATGTGGGACATGACGAAAGGGCCACCAATGGCACAGATCTCCTACAGACAGGTCTTAGGCATAAGATACCAAGAGCCCCTTCTCCAAATCAGTAACAATGACTGCCCTTCTCTGGGACTAGCCTGGACCCTTCATCACATAGTTTCTCCAGAGCTTGGGTAGGTCCTGATAAGAGGTGATAAAGACTTCCACGGGAAGCACAATACCTGAAGCCTTCCTGATCCTTAAACATTGAAGAAATCAAACTCAAAACTTAGGGACCTTTGATCTAACAGGACCCCATCGTCAACACTCGTTCCAGTCTCTCCCTACCCACATATCTCCACCAGCCTGAGTATCTCTGACTGACCTACAGTTAATTTCCTTTGGCCTCCTCACTGCCTCACTTACAGAGGTTGTCATGGGCAGTGAGGTAATCAATAGACAAAAGTATTTAACTTCCAGTTCAGCGTGCAGCCTCCTAACACCACTCCTCCTTGAGAAGGAAGAGAAGCAATAAATATGAAAAGTCTACATGGTAACTAATCCGAATCTAAGCAATTGAGTTTATTATACGAGTGCGTCTGGGTTTCCTTCTCAGTATCTCAGCAGAAAGTTCTTTCATTCATTAACATATCCTGTTTGGTTCCGTGAAATTACATTTGTTCCCCTGAACAATGCTTCCTATTTCACACACACAGCAAAACCCAGCTGGAGCCACAGATAACAGCTGAGATTGTTCCTTCCAGTCAGCTGGTAAAAGCCAATTTTGCATGGATTTAAGTGCATTCAAATTAGCAATTTAATGGCGGTGGATGTCCTGAGACTTCTAACTGCACAGTAGCTTCAGACACTCAAACATCTGGAGAATGAAGTGCTTACAGGTGTTGCACCCAGAAGATGAAAGGGAGCCGAGGGAAGGGGAGGGTTTTCATCCACCTTTGCTACCAGGGCCTGGGGAGCACTCCATGAAGCCTGGCTACTGGATCCCACAACCTTTTTCCTCCTTTGAAAATGTTCCTTTAAAACTGTGTTGAACAGCGCTGCTTGCTTGCAGAACTACCTGCCTGTCGTCTTCTCCCTTTGCCCATTCCTTTCCACACATCATAAGAGGCCCAGACAAACCTTTTTATATTGTCCAGGCAGCAGGTTCTCCACAATCTCACTCAGGTGGTAAAAGGAGGGTCTCTTCTCCGGCTCACTGTTCCAGCACTTCACCATGATCTCATAGCTGAGGAGCACAGAACTCAGAGTGGGCACAGGGAGGAGTGGCAGGGCACCCTCCCCCAGCCCCACAGACACACTGGGCATGAACACAGGGCCCATGGTGGAGGGGGGAGGGGAGCAGAGGCTCACACTTCACTGGTGGCATGGTCAGGCTTGGCCATCCGGTACCCACTCTTGATCTTATTGTAGAAAGTAGAATCCACCATCATGCCAGGATAGGGTGTGCCACCTGAAAGCCAAAAAGGAAAGTAACCAGGGTACATTGGTTAAGAGTTGGCTTGGGACGCCAGCTCTGAGCAGCAGGACCCCGGTTCGGATCCCACATGAGGGCCAGTGATGCTGCGCCTTTCTTTTTTTCTTTTTTTAAGATTTTTTTTATTGGGGAATTGAGAGAGGGGTACAGTGTTGGGGAATTGGGGAAGGGGAGCAGACAAGTTGCTGTTCTTTTGTTCTTCAGTCTAGTTGTGGAGGACGTTGCTTCACTGGCCCATGTTGGTATTATCATTGCGCTCTTCCCGGGTGAGGCAGATCCGTCGCCGGCCTCTGGACGGCCGCTCACAGCAGCTCTTGGCAGCTCACACCAGCTGCTGGCTGCTCACGCTGGCTGCCAGCCACACACAGTAGCTCATAGCAGCCCACTGCAGCAGGGGCTGCAGACTACGCCATCGCCGGCGACTCACAGCATCCCAGCTCCAGGTCAAGCTGTTGTTCACCATCTTAGCTGTAGAGGGCGCAGTGTCACTGGCCCTCGTGTGGGATCCGAACCGGGGTCCTGCTGCACAGAGCTGGCATCCCAAGACAGCTCTTAACCAACACTCCATTCAGCCGGCCCGACGCAGCTGCTGGCCGGCAGCTGGCATGAGCTGCCATGAGCTGCCATGAGCCACCATGAGCGGCCGTCCAATGGCCAGCGAGTGACTGCCTCACCCGGGAAGAGTGCAATGATAATACCAACATGGGCCAGTGAAGTGACATCCTCCACAACTAGACTGAAGAACAAAAGGACAGCAGCTTGTCTGTTCCCCTCCCCGATTCTCCAACACTGTTCCCCTCCTCCAACTCCCTAATAAAACCTTTGAAAGAAAGAAAGGAAAGGAACCAGGATTAACAAGTGTGTGGTATGTTGTTGAACACTTGGGGTGATACAGTACCTTTAGGAAATGTTTGGGGATCCCCACCTTCACCTTAAAGTACTGATTCTTTCAAGGAAATTAAGTGTTATCATCTCCCTGCTCAAATCTTAAATTTAACTGGGAGTTCTAGGTTGATCAAGTCTAGACACCCTAAGCAAAAATTCTACATCTCTGGAAAAAGCGCAAAAAGTGTTTTTTGATGTTTCTGACTACTGGATCTATATATACAAAGCAAAAGAGAAAATCAAGGGAAATTCTAAATCATTGAAACCCAAAAAGTAATTTTCACCAGAAATGTGCAAATAATTAAAGCAAAAGTCTAAGTTAGGGCTTGAAATATCTAGATAATTCTTTGCTTTTAATGGACTATGAGACTCGGTTAAGCTACACACTGGGATGATCCACATTGATATCCAAGGAAAAAGAACTGGGATAGAAAAAGGAGAGGAGGCAGGGAGATACTCTTTACTATCACATCAGGATAACAGTAAATTCATGAAACACTTCACGTGTTTATTGCCAAGGCCAGGTCAATTTTAGTTTCCTTGCTAAAGCCTTCTAAACCCACTCCAGGAACTCCTGTCTCCCGTCTCTGAACTTCCATTTCCATCTTAAATCAGGACCACACAGTTTATCGCTAAGTGTGTGAGTCTTATCTCCCCAGATGAAGTGTCTGGAAGTCCGGGTCATGAATCACTCCTCTCTTAGGGCCCTCACTTGGCAGCATGGGGCACCTGTGCAGTTCAGTACCTGGTGACTGACTGAATGACTAGGAGGTTTCTCTCCTCCAGAATGATGACCAGGAAGGGGAGTCACGCCCTTTTCCTTGCCATATGAGCATCTATCACCAGTAGGTGAGGAAGTGGCAATTCTCCACTGGTGACTCCGATAACCCCAAGGTGAAAAAGCAGCTGGTGAATGGATGTCATCAAGAGCATTTCCAGGAAGAGAAAGTCACTCTGGCATACCCAGAGGAGAGGAGGGGCAAAGGCCAGGGATTGGGGCAAAGGTCAGGGGTGAGAGTGCAGCTCCGCAAGATCCCTGTTTCATTCTGAATGGGCACACACCAGACATCATATGTGCACAATGTGTCATGTAAAGCGGCTGCAGTGTGCTTGACTCACACCAGGTATCTTAACATTGATTACATCCTGGAGCTTGGAAAAACACAGCATTTCCCTTCCAGTGTTGTTCCAGAATAACCCATACAAGCAGAGGTGTCGGGCCCGTACCAAGGGAAAAGATCTCCCAGAGCAGAATGCCGTAAGACCAGACGTCGCTCAGTGTGGTGTAGAGGTTGTCGAAGATGCTCTCGGGAGCCATCCACTTCACGGGGAGGAAGGTCTGCAGGGAAGGAGGCAGGAAATTAAACCCAGCGTACGCACTGATAATCTACAGCAGCAGAAATAGAAAGGGGTTCTTTTGGGCTAATAATAACTTGTACTAATAGTGTCTCTTGTGTGTATCATTCATGAGTGTCTCTTGTGTGTGTCATTCACTGCTATGCTCTCAGCACTCAGAAGAGAAGCTCTCAGCATTTCGTGGGTGTTCAATATATATTTGGTGAATGATGGATGGTCATTGCCTCTTAGGTCCTCCCAAGGAATAAGATCCAAAAATATTTAATCCTGAGTTTTTTTACCCAAAAAGTGTGAACCCTGAATGGACCTGTCTCCACTTTTCAGGTGTTCCTAGGAATGAAATTAAGAACAGAACCAGTGATTTGAAAGCCAATTACATTTTTTGAACTTTAAGAATAGTCATTTCCTACTACAAAGAGTCTGACATAATGATAATTCTGCAGCCTCTTTTGTGAGGCTGTCCAACCCTCAGAGGAAATACTAAATTGAGGCAGATACATCCAGCAGTCACATGAGCATCCTTCAGCCCTCTAAGGTTGCTGGGAAGATAACAGAGATTCATAACCTTTTTGAACAGTTGAGAAATTGGCTCCACCAAGTCCATTGATTTATTCAAGGTGCCTAAAGCTACAGGTCATGACCATAGAGTACATGAAACATACAGACATGGACACAGCCCAGGGTCCTTCTCTAGGTGGATATAGCAGCCCCACGAGCTATCCCACAACCAGTGCAGTGGAGTGACTGGAAAGTGTACATATAGGTGGCAGATGTATCCCAAACTACTCCATCTGCTTAAAGGTAGAAGGGGTGGGGGAAAAGGTTCAGGTGTAAGATAGAATGAGTATCTTTAAGGAAACTTTGTCTCTAAGATATGTGAACTCAAATGGTTTTCACATTTTAGGGGTCACAGACACCATTTGAATATTTGATAAAAGAGACACTCTCCTTGGAAATAATGTATGTACACACGCATGCGCAATTTACACATTAACAGCTAATGCTTACTGGATGCTTCTATGGGCCAGGCACTATGCTAAGCATTTTACATGAATTCACTTATTTAATCCCCATGGCAATGCAGGATTTAGGTACTATTGTCACTTCTCTGTTATAGATAAACTGAGATACAGAATGGTCAAGTAACTTCCCCCAAATCTCACACTAGGAGTGGGTGCTCACACCCAAGAGTCTGCTGGAGAGCCTGTGCTTTTCATATTGACCCTCTAGAGCCTGTTCATGAGTCTCATGGACTCCATACTGAAAATAGAGGCACATGAATGGCTAGAAGTAACACCTGATTTCAAAGATTCAGTGAGGGTGAGCATGCCAAAGAAGCAGGGAGAGCACATACGCTGCCTTTTGACACGTAGTTCGAATCATGCATGATGTCTCTGGCCAGGCCAAAGTCACAGATCTTCACAATTTTCCCTTGTGCCAGGAGGACATTGCGAGCAGCCAGGTCCCGGTGGACACACTGCACAGGAAGGAAAGAAACAATGTCAAGGTCAATCCATCTGCTGCTAGACAGCATCGCCCCTGCAAGACTGAACACTTACTTCATGGTGAAATGTGGAGTTTCCTGGCACACCTCAGGGAGGCCATCCTGGCATAAAGAGCTCACCTTTCCCAGGCTCTCATCCCAACCACTCCCAAGAGTGAGAAACCTCTAGCAAAAAGTAGACACCTGATGGTGTCAGATGCCCCACTCTGCTTTGGGGAAGAGGAAGAGAGAAGCAGCCATTGCTACTGGCCTCTCTGAGATCTATCTCCCACGCTCACCTCACTCAGACCTGCAGCCAAGGTCTAAAGAGGTCTCTGTTCCTTGAACACACTTACATTTTTTGAAGCCAAAAACTCCATTCCTCGTGCAACTTGATAGGTAAAGCTCAACAAATCCAACAAAGTGAGGCCTTCCGAGTTATCATCCGAAAGGAGGTTTTTGACTTCCGAATCTGCAGAGAAGGAATTAAGTGTGTTGGTGCTGGGGGACAGCATGAAACGTCACCCACTGTGCCACTCCCCCAGGGTGGGGCCGCTTGTCAGGCTGCAGAGGCTTGTCCAATAAAACAGATCTAAGATGTTTTCTTATAGTTTCTAGACATCATGGGTGGTTATCTAAACTATACAAGTTCTAGACAAAATACCTTGGAATTTAGGAATGAGCTTTTCAGATGGAAGTGAAAATCTGTTAGTAACTTGTCTTATTCAGGACTTATTCAGACCAAAGATATGAATAAAATTAGACTTGGTTAAAAATATACACGTTACATATTTCAGGCTAATGACTAAAATAATATAACTATGTTGTAAAACAAAAAATTAAAATTAAAAGGTATAAAAATAAATACTGTGCAAAGGCTCCATTTTTAAAAAGAAATATACCAACAGAAACATATATCTGGCTAATATATATGTCACCATCAGAACCAGTCTAATGGGTTCTCATATATTTTGTGGTTTTCCTCCCAAATTTCTTTTTTTCAACCTTGTTAGCAAATCACCTCAGCCACCATTAAAACACACATACACACTAAAATCTTCCATAATGAAGAGGGCCCTTTTCAAAAAGTAGTTTTTAGGAATTGCTTTTATTTTTCTTTTTAAAGCCACCTTCATAGTACTTGGCTTATTTGGTGAATAAAGCAACCACCACTCAGAATGGAGGTAGTAATTTTAAAGATCAGTGCCAATGACTTTGCATTTAGTTCCCTTTGTTTGTAACTTGTCCACTTTCCCCGGTTAGCCCCATCTTGGAAGGGTCCCAGGGTTTTCGAGGAAGGAGGCAATTTAGGCCAGCAGTTCTCAGTTCTTTTTGCAATTTTTCAGGCAAGTGAGGAGTAGCTGCAGCCATTCACATTTTTCCAGCCAGCTCTAGGAACAGGCCAGAAAGCAGCAGTCTGCCTGCCAACAGGGCCTGGGCTGAGCATGAATCAGGTTCCCTTGACATCTGGAGCCTGGTCCAGCCTGGGAAGCAATGTAAACTATTTTTAACAATATGAGAGGGAAGAGGAAGCACTGATTCCGACAACCCTCACTGGCTAATCTTTAAAAAGAGCTTGGAAGTGTACCCATTTGGCAATGGGAAATGAATGGATCTTGGAACTGCAGCAATGGAAAATATTATTGTGTACTGAGCTTTGCAAAATGAGCACATTCTTTGTGTAATGGATTGTACCTTTCACTTAAGAACTCTGAAAGCATTCAGAGCACATTAGCGATTTTCAAAACAATTTCCATAGCAGCTCAACACTTTTTTGCATCAACCAATGGGAGGGCTCAGACCCAATAATACAGGATCACAGGACAAGTCAACGTCAGACCCATCTAGCAACCTCCTCCTCATTCCAAGCCTGTGATTAGACGAGAACTCTAGAGGAGCCACCCCACAGCAGATGTGGAGTGGTCCACCTGGTATGGGCATCAGCTGGGCTCCCTGGAGTTTATACATCAGTTTAGCCCCGCCACATGCGCATCTGCTTTGAAAACAGGCAGATCTTCCTTCAAATAACATGCAGTTGAAACACCCAACACCCTTGTCAGAAAATATAACCTCTAATTGTCCACTTTCCAGTTTCTACCACAAATTGGATATTAGCAAAGCTGAAAGCAAGGGCTACTGAACTCATAGATAACAAAGACTTATATAATTATATTTTTAAAAATAATATTAGGACTCAATATAAGATTGTCACTTTTAATTTGGCCAAGGGCATTGAGAAAAAAACATCAATTATCACCATACTGTCATTAAAAAGAAAAAAAGACATGTTAACACCAAAAAGAAAGCTATTTAAAAATGATTATATTTAAAGTTTGAAACATTCATTACATTAGGTCTGTCTTTATTCGTTTTCTTCTTTTCAATTCACAGGTCACAAACCTATGAAAACATTCACAGCCCCGGCTTGTACAGATCTGCATTTAGGGGCCTTGTGGCCTGGCAGTTCTACTTACCATGCCCGATCACCTTCTGAGCATTTTAAGTATCACGTTCAACCACTGGGAGATCACAACACCCAAAGAGTGAGCATAGACATTTTTACCTAACATAGATTTCTTCTTATAGGAGGCTGGGCGATCATACAGCGATCTCTGGATGTCTGAATATTTAGAAACTTCTTTCCTTTCCAGCATGGGGACATACTGCGTGGTATCAGCTTGCTTCATGTCCATGTAGTCACCATTGTTTTCAAAAGATAAAATAACATAACTGGAAAAACAGAAAAATAAACCTTATCCCGGTGTCCCTCTGGAGTGATCAATTCAACATTCAGTCACTGAAGAGCAGCTGCCTACAGTCTGCAAGGTAGTGGGGTGGGCACGGGGATGTCAGGGATGAGTAAAAACAAAACCTATTTGTACCCTTCACATGGGGTGGGCTAATCGGGGAGCTGAGCATTAATCAATAATCACACAAGTACACAGATCATCTCCGTGTGTGCCTGTCTTTATTCTGTTTCTCAATTCACAGGTCACAAACCTGTGCCACGTGACCACGTGGCTTAGACAATTCCTACTACTCGATAAATGTAGCAACAATTTGGTGTCCGAGTAATTTAATATGAGGTGAACTCATTGTACTTTCTGATGTTACAGAACTTTATATCTGCAGGGATCTTTACAGCCACTGTAGGCTTCTGCCGGGGGGATCACTATCATTGCCTTGATTTACAGGCCCGGGTTCAGCAAGGACCAGTGTCTCAAGTTTGGGGATCCTGAGACAGTTTCTCTTAAGATCAAGCACTGAGGCATCCCTGGCAAGTGCTGCACTTGATAGGTCTTAAGTGGACTACATATAAACAGGAAAATGACTTCCAGAACAATTCCAACTCTTGCTGTCATTCAAACCTATCAGTAAGGCTCCCCACACGATATCCTGGTCCAAAACACTTGCAGCTATTGTGTATCAATCAGCACCATGTCACGGGATGAGAGGGCAGGGTAGCTGGACTATAAGTCTTGCTTCCTCCTGGCATGGACTCTGCATACATGGACTCTATCAGTACATGGGTTTTTTTTCCATTGGTGAGGCTTGAAAGACCATGATTCACAGCAACATCTCTCTCCGCACCCACCTCCGTGTGCTTTCATCAGCAGGGTTCAATCCAAAGATGTCCAGCTCTTTCTTTGGCTTCTCTGGGTGGTGGCTTAGGAAGCTGTCCCTATTCTTATGCAAATAGTTGACCAAATCCCCATAGAAGCAGTACTCGGTGATGATGTAAATGGGACCTGTGGGGACCAGAACCGGTTAGTTAGGAGATGAGTATGAAAACGAAGAACAGAGACGAGATGTTGCTCAAAAACAATGAGCTTTCATCAGTTCAATGGAATTCAGTCAACTCCATTCAAGGGACTTATATTCACTGGCATGTTTGGAGGTACAGATTGGGGAATTAGAAAGCTGAGTATGACAGTTTTTACAATGGTAGATGTTCTATGAAAACTCTCCCTCCCAGGTTAGTAACTTTACCTGACTTGGTACAGGCTCCCAGTAAGTTTACAATGTTTAAATGTGGTCCCAGGTGAGTCATTATCTTCAGTTCAGACATGAGAGCTTGTTTTTCACTGGATCTGGCTGTGGCTGTTGAAGAAATAAATCACATGTCAGTCTAACTGAGCTACCCACTTCCCTGAAAAAGCCAAAAACATGGCTAATCCTGTGATTGGATATTATTTCATTTACCAAAAGCCAAAAGAGAAACAGAACATAACTTGGTCTAGGGGCCGGCCGAGTGGCGTGATGGTTAAGAACTGGCTTGGGACGCCAAAAGGCCCCGGTTCGGATCTCACATATGAGGGCCAGTGACACTGCCCTCCACAGCTAAGATGCTGAACAACAGCTCAACCTGGAGCTGGGCTGCCGTGAGTCGCGGCAACGGCGTAGGCTGCAGCCGCTGTGGCAGTGGGTTGCCATGGGCTACCGTATGTAGCCAGCAGCCAGCGTGAGCGGCCAGCAGCCGCAGTGAGTGGCCGTCCAAAAGCCGGCGATTGATCTGCCTCACCCGGGAAGAGCACAATGATGGTGCCAACTTGGGCCAGTGAAGCAACATCCTCCACAACTAGACTGAAGAACAAAACGACAGCAACTTGTCTGTTCCCCTTCCCCCAATTCCCCAGCACTGTTTCCATCCCCCCAATTCCCCAATTAAAAAATAAAAATAAAAAAATAACTTGGTCTAGCTTCTCTAGACCTTAATAATAAATCCTTAGTCTTTAGGGTTCAAAAGAAATCACTAAAAATAACAACTCTTGATTTTCCAACATACAGGCAACAAAAACACTCTAAATAAACCCAACTGACAAAAGTGTCTAAATACACATAAAACCTAGAGTTGAAAAAAACCAAGATTTAGTCCTAAATTTGGCATTTACCGGCTCTGTGATTTTGAGTAATTTATTTAATATCTCCATGTTCAAAAATCCCCAGGAAGGGACACTTACGTTTAAGCATCTTCACTGCTACTTTCATGACAGGTTGGGACCGGCTTAATCCATAGGCAGTTCCTTCAACCACTTTCCCAAACGCACCAGATCCCAGGATACGACCTGTGGGCAACCAGAACCATTAACACACAGAGACATCAGGCATCTCATCAGCTTTATTTACCATGGCCAGCGCTTGTGGGTACACAGCTGGGTGGTGTTTTTCCTGTTGGAGTAAGCATAATGATTCCTCCAAATCATCATGTCAAAACCAGAACTGAGCCCACAGGGAAGGAAATTAGTATAATTGCTTTTGTCAAATAACATTTGCAAGGGAAAGGAAAACACAGACGGGAGAAAGGAGGGTGCAGCCCTCCAGGGTGGGAGCACTTTGTCTACCAGCTTGCGTGCTGGGCCAGACCATGGACTCCGTTGCACTTGCTTTCTGTGGCTCTCACCCAAACCCCCTGGTTCTTTGCCCTTCTGTTTTCCATATGCAAACAGGGGCATCTTTTGCATCAGTAAGTCCTTATCCGCTGGAAACACTTCAGTATTCAAAATGTCCCTGACTCCAATGAGTGATGAAGTAAACTTCAGGCTGGGCCCCTGGCTGCCTGTTTGTCAGGAAGACCAGGAATCACACAGGCTAAAGGTGCCTGGTGAACACAACACTTTGCTGCATGTTGGGAGATACAAAAAGAGATGCAAGCTGTCGTTCCCACTCTTAAAGAGCTCGCAGTCTAAAAGGGACTGCTCACCTGCTTCTGAGTATTTTAAGTACGCTCCTTGACATATTAGGGATATTGCCATTTTCCCCATATTTTAATACTTTTTAACTTGCCTCAGCAACTTGTCCCTTTTTGTAAAACAGGGGATGGAAATATATAATAAAGAAGCTTAGTTGCCAGGTATAAGTATTTGAAATTGGGAGCGCCTACCTAGGATGTCTCTTTGATTTCAGGTGAAGTGGCTCTCTAAGAAGACCTAACCTTGTATTTTGGAATCAAACAGGTGGATAATTAAAAACTACCTTTGGAAGGAGAAGGGGAAGGGATGAGACAATACAAATGGGTAATTGTAATATGGCCGCAGGGATAGAAAAAGACAGTCCGAGGAATACAATCAATAATGTTGTAAGTATTTCTTAGGGGGCCAGATGGACCCATGTCCTTTTGGGGAGTCCACTTCATAGTTGATGTAGAGGCCTGACCACCACATTGTATTTCTGAAACTGATGTTGAATAATACTGTATGTCAACTATAATTATATATACATATAACCTCGGGACATGGAGTAGAGTGCGGGAACGGATTCAATGGAATTGTAATAGATAAGCATGATATCGGGGGTGGGAGGGCAGTGGATGGGGGGGGGGGGGTTGTTACTTTGTGAGGGTGAAAAGGGTAACTATTGCATTGTTCTGTACACCTGAAACTAACAATAAAAATAAATAAATAAATAAATAAATAAATAAATAAATAACTACCTTTGGCATCCTTCAAATTACATATCATTAGAACATTCATGGTGACACAACCTTTAGGTCTAACTTTCATTTCTCTGTCCTGTTTTCATTAATTCAGAATGTGATTTTTTTTTTTAATTCCCTGGACTAAAGCTTCATGTGGTCCCAGCCCAAGATTGCAATATTTGAAAAGTCTGTGATAAACTGGCTTGATTATCTTACATGTTTTGCTTTAAAATGTACCTATATTTTTATATTCTATATTCTAAATATACATATTCTAAAGAAGTATCTAATACATCCTCAGAATATACTGGATCAAATTATATTTTGTGGTTGTCCTCATTCATTTCTCATCTGTTCCTTTTTAGTCACGGAAAATCATCTCATTTTCAATTTGTGTCATTTCCAAAGCAAAGCCATTTTGATGGGTATCTTTGGCAGGTCTCCTCATATTCTCTTCTCCTTTTATAAAATTTTCTTTAACCATAACTTTCTATAAACTGAGATTTTTTAAATCATTGCAGTGATCCAATTAACTCATTTTCAAGACAAAAAAAAAATCTCTGAAAGCCAGTTTCTATTACCTAACTCTTATTAAGCACAAGTTTAAATTCCTCATTCCTTCATGGGACTGTAAAGAGTCAAGTCTGTACAAATCGAAAGGGAATCTTGGATGATCACCCCAATAGGTGCTTACCCAGCACTAGTCCATCTCTTGGAAACTCCCATCTCGAGTCATAAGGCAGCTGCATCGGGTCCACATAAATATATTCATGTCCATCGGGGCTGATTGATTCAATGACCCTCCAGCGAATTTCATACCTCGGTTTCTATAAATGACCAGGACAGGTAACTGGTGAATTACCAGAGTCCGGACACACCAAAGGTGAACTGGAGCAGCAAAGTGACCAGACGTAGTAGGATTCAACACGTTCACTCAACACATAGTTACCAAGCAACTTCTCTGTGCCAAGCACTGAACTAGGTGGCTATTTTACTTGTTCTTATTGGCTTCAAAGATATTGAGTTCTTTGAGAAAAATATCTACCTGTTTCCAAATGACAACCAGGACAATCAGTGAGATGATCACAATCACCAATAGCACCAGGACTGCTGCCGCCACCGTGAGTTCAGAACGCAGAGCTGGGGGAGAAACAGAGAGCCATGATGGAAAATTTGCACAAACATGCAGAAGGGCAGGTAGGCAGTGTGCCTGTGTCTGGGCCAGAAATCTCACTGCTCGTGGAGAAGCCGGAGGGACTTGGATCATTTTAGGGATGGGCAATAGCATCTCTCAATTATCTACACACATAAGACTACTCCAGCTCGTCCCTTAAAACAGAAAGGAACAAAATCCAATCAGGGGAATGCCATATTTTCTCTAAAGGTGCTCCAACATTAATCTTCTGGACAGAATGTGAATTGGAATATAAAGACTGATAAATGAGATGGACATGACTTTAAGTTCAGAAATTTAAATTCAACTTATTTTGAAAGGGTGCATTTTGTTTACGTTGCCTTTGACTTCGTTCATTTTTTTTTTTTTTTAAGAATTCAACCTGTCTCAACTGTTGTTACGAGGAAAAGGCAGAAGATCCTTCTTCCCGCTTTGAATTCCCACATGCACACTAAAGAGGCTGGGTAGTTATACTGTTAGACAAGCAAATGCTGAGGGGCCTCTGAGAGGTACAGTTTTGTATTTGAATCGGAAAGAAAGGACTCCCACACAGATGCGCTGAGAAGGCCCTGTAAGAGCATTCAGAGCCGTTCTGCCTTGGGACCTTCGTTCTTATAGGACCCCATTAGGGATTTAAAGTTCCATCTGAGGGAAAAAGGGCTTGGCTGATGATTGAGAGTTGTCCTGACTTATGAAAAACTCACTGGGAGCCACCAGCTTTAGCTCTCGGTTCTCAGCCCCAAGGAGATTCTTAGCCAGACATCGAACCGCAATGGTCTCCTCCACTTTGGCGAATGTCACCCGGCCCTCCACTGTACTCCTGTCTCGGGGGTGGACCTCCGTGATGATGTTTGAGATGTTGTTGGCCAGAATCGTCCATGAAGTCTCATTATTACATCTGGAGAGAAAAAGGACATAAATACAGAGCTGATTATCAGGAGTAATGGAGGTGAGTGGAGCAGTGAGAATAATCTAAGATGGCAAGCCCTTCTGATCTGGTCTACAATTTGGGGATGTTACAGGTTGATTTTCTTACTTTATGAGCCTATTAACATTAACACTTGTTTGCACACACCCAATAGAAAATAACCTACATGGACATAATTGAAAGTTAACTATTCACGAATGCAAGACAGAAATAAACAAGGTCAATCAAATATAACTACCAACCCCAAGCCTTGAACCGAGAAGCAAACTGAACAGTTCAACTTCAAGAATGTTTTAACTATCCATATTTTGTATTCCTTCAAAAGGGTCTGGCGGCCTCCCTTCTCTCCATCTGCACTGTGAGAGGCCCTAAGGTGTCACTGGGGTTGGGGTGATCCTACAGCTGAGTTATGGGACCTAGATTCCGCTCCAGTCAAGATCCAAGTCAGCCCCTTAGCCCTAGGACAGGGCAGGTCTAGGAGTCTCAGGCTTCAGGAGAAGCAATCAAGGTTTCTGAACACAGCCCCTTGCCCTGGGTAGAAGTGTGAACATGTCGCTCATGTGCCCATTTGAGAAGGTTGAGAGATGGGACACGAAGGAGCAACTGGTGGGTTAACTCCCACCAAAGGACAGGTAGGCAAATATAGTAGTGAGCAATCACATGGGCAGTATTTTTATTTATGCTCATATGCCAGTCTAGACACCAAATAAAGTTCACCATATAAGAAATAAGAGGTAAAAATGTGGGTTAAGGTGGTAAAAATCCTCTTATAGCGGTAGTTCTTTAAATTCATCATACTGTCAGATTACAGACTCTTTGGGAATCTGATGAAAACCATTGACCTTCTCCTTACAGCTACTCATGAACACAAGTGCATGTGCACACACATGCGCTCACACACACACACACGCATGCACACACCCACAAGGTCCAATATTCAGAACCCTAACTTGTAGTTTATGAGACTTAGGCTGAATAAGAATCACAAGTACAAAAAAGAGCCAGCAAAAAAAATAAAATGCATTGGAGGTCCTTTGCGTCAAGAAAAAGAAATTCTGACCACAAAGGAAAAAGGAACACCTGGTTTCCGTACTTCTTAATATCCTTGCAAATCATCCACTCAATATCAGGAAGAGGTGTCCCTTCAGCTGTGCATCTCACAGTCTGTCCCCCCGTAGAGCCATGGTGGTCGTCGACCAAGTCCAGAATAGATGAGGGAACTGCAGGAGGTAGAAACAAATCGGAATTGAATGGTTTGTGACCCAGAACTTCTGGGAACTACAAAGTGAATATGAGTCCAGAACTTGCCCACAGGGCATTTGATCGTACAAATCAAGTAACCGACCAAGGCGGAGGGGGGCCTGGAATCAGTTATGTGCATAATAATGTCCCAGTTTGCCACAGACCCACTTGTTTAAGAGCATTTTCACAGTTTCAGTGTCTTGGGATGTGTACCCTGTGGTGTTTTAAATCTGGAGTGACGAAAGCAAAAAAGTTCCTGTGGTTATTTGACTTGAAAGGCAAAGAGGCTCTTAAAATTAATATAGCTTGGGATTCAACTAATGAATTCAGCTAAAGTATAACCTAAAGCAGCATTTACCAAAGTGCATCTGTGGGATTTTATTAGGTTTTAATTTTTTTTTAATCTGTGATCAAACACTTTAATAAATACGCTAATGCTCGTATCATAGATTTATTGTGAGGGTCAAATGAGCCCACCTAAGACAATACCTGGCACATGATAGATACTCAGTGAAGAGGTGCTGCATCTGAATATAAATAGACTTGGGCACTCCTTTCGGGTAAGGGCCACGGTACGTCTACAAGGGAAGCTAAACAGAAAGGCCAAAACTCTCGGGCACAATCTAAGGTCATCTGGACCAAAAAGCATCATTTCACTCTTGCCAGAACTGTAGGTGCCAGATTGAGAAGTGGGTGGTAAGGAAGTTGTTGGAGCTTAGGAATTCCCAGTCAGGCTGTTCCAGAGTAGACTGAAACCTCCCAGCATTGTGTGAATTCTCAAGTCCAGCAAAGCTATCCCTGACATGTGACATCTACAGTCCCTACTTCTCCTGTAAAAGTGTTGCTTTCCCCTCCACGACCTGGGAGAAAAGGGCCAGGCTCTCCTCGGGAGACACTTGTTCACTGAGGCAAGCATTGTCTTTAAATCGCCCTTACATACCTTGAGTTAAGAGTTCAAAAGTATAGCTCTCCACATCATCTTCATTTTGAACCACGATAGTATAATGGCCACTGTCTTCTTCCTTAGCCCGGATCAGCTTTAGTTTGCTTCGATACCTTAAAAGAAAAGGACTTTGTGTCAGCAAGTAGCAGCCAAATAAATGCCAATTGCTTCAGCAATTACTGTGTTCCATTTAAATTTTAGTTTTGTAAAAAATAAAGACATCTTTTTCTCTTGTCAGGATCATTCCTTTTCTGGAGTTTTCCACACACTTTCTACATGTTGAAGGTCTGCATTGTGGGCATTTATTTCTTAAGCAGGAGGCCAGACATTTTGAGATGAGCAATTGCTTGTGTGACTCCAAGAGGAATCAAGTCTCTGAAGGCCTGACTTCTGAATGGGCATAAATGCATCTCACCAACTTTCCTTTTACAAAACAAGATAAAAAAACTTGACTTTTACCTTTTTAAAAATTACTTGCTTCCCCTAAACATCCATCCTTTAGGTAGTTCAGCTGAACAAAGGAACACCGTTGGAAGAATGAGGCCCTCTCCATAAATATAGATTGATATGGAGAGGTCGCCAGGATATAACATTCCTACCTGCTTATATTTGTTTTTAAAAATGCTGGAAGGTTTCATAAGAACCTAATGAAACTAATAAAAATGTTTCCCTGTAGGTGGGGAGGAGGGGGTTACTGGGCAGATGGGGACGGGAATGGAATGAGGCTTCTTACAATGAGCCCTTATTATGTTTGAATATTTTTAAAGCATAGGATTCTATCACCTATTCAAAGCAATAAATTTTTAAAAATATATTTCTTCATACTTTATTAAAGGGAAGTTTCCCCCAAAGATTTCTTACACATATTGTAAACGACATTTGGCTGTGTATGTGTGTGTGTGTCTGTGTGTGTGTCTGTGTATGTGTACTTGTGTGTATGTGCATCAATTTGCCCATTTGATTGTCCTTCTTTATAAAACATCACAGGATCGAAAAGCAACTTGAGTGGAGAAGAGCACTGGTTATGGAGTGAGCAGATCTTGGGCATTCCTAAAATTCTCCATGCCTCAATTTCCTTACATGTAGCATAGACTAATTGTATGAATAGCACAGAGTTATTTAAAGAATTAATTAAATAAAATTGTATGTGTGAAAGCATTTCATAGGCTCAACAGTAACCTGCAAATGTAGAGTCTTTTAGCCCAAGTTGCCAGTCACTAGGCCCTGTGATGAGAGCGTGCGGGGCTGGTTTTCCCTCTGCTGCACCATACTGGGCACACTCCCTGACTGGATTTCCTTAGACAGAGAGAACGCTTAGGCATGTCTGACTGCTCATTATCAAACGATCTTCTGTCCTTCATTTTCTATACTTGTTCAGCCAAGAAATCTGGTGGATCCACTAGTTCCAAGCTCCAGGAAGCCAGAAACCCCATCCATCGTGTGCATCCATGTGTTCTCTGGCCCATAATAGAAACTAGAAGAATATGTGCTGAAGGAACTCTTGACTCACTTGAATAGGCAGCTTTCCTGAACCACTCAGCGGGCGAGCCTTGTCTTAATGTTGATTAGCGCTTTCAGATAGTGCTCGTGCGAGTGTTTGCAAGTGTTGGCTGTGCCAGGATTTCCTTATTCCTCCTGGCCTCAGCCTAGTGGGAAGCTCAGCCCTTCCCACCTCTTCGTGTGCCTTCATTTCGCGTTAGCAGAAAGCCTTCCAGATTCAGTATTCCATTTCTTTTTCCATGGCCATCCACAGAGGTCGTGTAAGTTCATTTTCTCAGATGCTACTTCTCAATGACATGTGGAATTTAAATTCAGAAAGAAGAGAGCAAATCTTGAGGTTAAATGAACTGATAAAAGAGGTTCTGTCTCCTCTTCCCTGGTGGCTTGAAGTAGAGGACTGACGTTTGTCTCTCTGGGATGGTTTCTGAGAAGGGTGTCGAGCTGGATTAGCTGGGCCCTTCAAGATGTACCTGCTGCTCCTGGTTTCTAATCAGAGCTTAAAACTGCAAAAGACCTCAAATATCATCTGATCCAATTCCTTGCCTTGAAGGACACAGGTATTACTTACCCTACATTATAGATGAGGAAACTGAGGCTGAGAGGTGACTTACCCAAAACTCTACCACCAGTTAAGACATGAGAACAGTCTACCACTCTCATCAGAGGGCTACCCAAATTCTCCATTGTACATTTTCTCCTAACCAAATTTAAACAGACTCTACTCTGATTTCCTGTGCAGACCTCACTGGGGCAAATGTGTTTCAAATTAAGTCAGTGATGATTTGTTTCATATTAGCTTCTGTGATAATTGTCTTACAACTGGAATTGCCATATCTGTCTACTTGCAATATGAATGCTGGACATCAAGGAATCTAGTCAATCCAAGTGGGTCCAATTTTGTTTTCTTTCTTCCACCCCTCACTGGATCCAGGAACCTATCTTTTATTGGAGGCAGAGCTTTTTAGTTCTACTTTCTTCTTATTTTATCATTAAATACTTACCAACATACTATCAATATATTTTAATGCTATCAATTAAAGGTGCTTGATTTCAAGTGTCTCCTAACTCAGATTGCTACATTTTCTGGATTAACTCCTGGTTTGGGTTGTAGGACATGCACAAACATCAGTCGATCTAGGGACACACAGAAAAGGAGAAGGCATGCTTGGGAAGGGTGTTTCTTTACCTTATTTCCTGAATCTTTTCTATGTCGGTGGTGATCTCAGTGAGGTTTTCTATCAGAGTCAGGTTGTCTTTCAGCCAGGATATCCTGGGAGGGGGGTAGGCCTGCACATCCACCACAAAATGTTTCACTTCATGCAGGTTGACAGCTTCCAACTGGCTGAAGTTGGGTTTGATTTCAATGAACCCTTTCTCTGTACAGGGAAGAATTTCCATTAAATAATGATTACCGCACAGTGGGTCCCGAGCAGCATGGACGACCGACACGTTAGAAAGCAGAATGTACCATGGACAGAAATGGTGACTTTCTTCATTTCTTTAACCTCCTTAGTGGCCTGGCGAGCAGCACATTCGTAATCTCCACTATCCTTCACCGTGGCCTCAGGGACCATCAGAGTGTACACCAATTTGATAGATGGGACCTTGATTTCTTCCAGCATTGTGATGCCTTTGCCTTTCTACAGCAGAAGAGAGGAAAACCAACGTTAAAAAGCTCGCTTCTAGGAGTGAACTCATGTAAACTATGGACTGTGGGTGACAATGACATGGCAATGTAGGTTCATCAATTGTAACAAATGTACCACCCTGCAGGGATGGTGATACTGGGGGAGGCAGTGCACATGTGGGAGCTGGGGGAGTATGGGAAATCTCTGTATCTTCCACTCAATTTTGCTGTGAACTTAAATTACTCTAAAAAATTGAATCTGACAAAAAAAATTTTTTTTCAAGCTAGCTCCTTAGAACATCATGTTTTAAAAGGATATTTAATGACATAGTAAAGTATTTGTGCTATATTGCCAAAAGAAAAAGGATAGAAAAAAGTACTTTTTAAAGTATAATACCTATTAAGAATTAAACATTTATCTATATATACAAAGTATTTAAAGGATTTATCTCCCTAAAATATTGGGTTGTCGGAAAAGTCATGACATATTTTTTTCTATGTTTTTCGTTGCAAAAATGCGTCATGATTTTTCCAACAACCCAATATTAACAGTGAGCTCTGGGAAGTAGCTTTTCCTGTTTCTCTATATTTTATCAAGTTTCAACAATAAATCTGTATTACTTTTATTATCAGACAAAAAAATTGATTATATTTTTGTATATTTTGGGGCCAAATTAGCACGTACTTTGGTTTGGGGAGGGGGGGGAATGTCTATACATCCAATAAATGAAAAAAACCTTTATGTTTTAAGGATTAAAGGCAAACAAGTACCAACAGAAAAACCAAATAGTTTCATATTTCAGGGAAGATGTTCACATACTGAACTATGAATGAGGCTTATAAGGCAATATGTGAAAATGCCCAACTTCCAATCAGATGAGATGCCCCAGAGAGAACAGAAGAGCAGCAGCAAAACTATCAAATACCAAAAAGAGCAGAAAGCAGAAATTTGCATATCAGGAGTGAAGGGGAAAATATATATATATATGTATATATATATATATATATATGTTTTTTGTACATATATGTATATATACATATAGTATGTGTATATGTTTTTATGTGTATATATATATATGTATATACATATATATGTTTTTTGTTCTTCCCAAGGCTGTTGTGTTAAGCACCGTTAATCATTTCTGCATTGCACCGTCAGTCTTTTACACTCAGTTCTCTTACACACTTACTACAACGCATTAGAATAAGTGAAGCACTGTGTGTAAATCCCCAGTGACCGGAGATGGCACAGTGGTCCCCCTTCCTCACTTTTATCTCCACTCCTCCTTTCTTCCACCTTCTGTGCATAGGTTGGCTTCTAGCAGACTGCTTGGGATTTAGCAAACATCATTACATCTTTGCTGAATGATTCAAGTATTGCCTGTTCACTGAAGGTAAGACATGCAAAGAAAAGACCAGGCAGGTAGGAGTCAGAACAGTGTCCTGGGTGGCAGACAACAGAGCAGAAATGGAAAGGGAGCAGGCAATCAACATTATCAAATGCCTCAAAACCCAAAGGCATGGGAGCCAAAAAACAAAAGAAACAAACAAAAAAAGAATTAATGACTACCTCAGCAATTAGCAAATCTTAAAATCTATGCATTTTTTGCTTTTCTAATTTTTCGGTTATCTTGTAGCCATAGAAGCTTTCTATTTCTTTCTGACTTATGAACAAGAAGGCTCAGTGTACAATCTTGATACATGCTGAACATCCTGGTCCAGCTATTGTCATCTCAAACTCTCCCACTGCTCAAAGAGCCATAAGTCATCTAGCCAAATGTGCTCATTGTAGAGATGGGAAGCTGAGGTCTAGAGAAGCTGACAGATAAGTCTTTGGAGCCCTGCTGTGCTCTACTCCATGCCACCAGGAGCCGCGAGGGTACCTACCACTTCTCCAGGGTAAGTCCACTGAAGGTCAACCACCTCGTTGTTAAAGACGGCACAGGTGACCACAACTGTTTCCCCTGATTTATACACAGTTTTAGGAGCTTCCATTTCTAGATCAAGTTCTGGTGTGGCTATTTGAAAAAAGAACAAACACAAGGACCTAAATATCCATAGTATAATTAGGATCCTAATTATAGGTTTGGGTGTTTTTGGGTTTTTTTAAGAAAACGTTGAAAAATAATTTGAAAACCACTTTGATCAAGACAAGATTTTGAAAATCTCAGAAGCCTTGATTCTGAGTTGGCATACATAATTTGGCATGTAGTTATAATACAAAATAGCACACGTGTGTGTGTGCGCGTGCGCACACACACACACACACACACACACACACACACAGAATAATAACGATAGTAAAAATAAATTCCAATTAAACAGAACACCACATTCCTGAACATTTGGGTTAATTGTGACTGTAGTCTTTTGCAATCACCTTTACTGATGTCTTCATTCATTTAATCAACTAACCTTTACTGACCAGCACTCCTCTAGGCACTAAGCTCCTATCCCATCATTCATTCTCTTCTTCTTTCCCACTCTGCTCCCCAATTTTATTCTCAGCACTTTTCCAAAACCTAGCACAGTGCCTGGCATAAAACAAGCCCTTGAGAAGAGTTAAATGGCATACTCTTGCTGCTGCCACACCTACAAGTAACTGTTCAATAAATCGTTGACCCCAACATGTATTATACTTTCCCACTCTCATTAACTACTCACATCAAAGGGATGAAGTCTGCAACTACAAGCCTTTCTCAAAATTCAAAATCACTTTTCTTTGGTTGCTAAAATTAATCTAGGTGTCCATCCCTCCCCCATATGTATTTGTTTTGAAGGCCTCTGTAGTCAGGAATGTGAGTAAAACAGTAAGAGGCTTATACAATAAAAGAATTCCTTACAGTATTTGAACTAATGAAACACAAAATCTTACAGGGGTAAGAAAGCTTTTACCTTCAATAAGGCTAAGCTTCATATTATTATAGCCACAGAGGTCAGCCTAACATTGTATGGGAAACATGGGGTCCTAAATCCCCAAATCAGAATTCAGGATCTCCATCCATCACCAGGGACTATGATTTTTTTTTTTAAATCCTATATGCATCTGATTATTTTGCCTGTCACTCTTATTTAAAGGAGGGAGAGGGTACACGTACATTTTAAAGCATAAACATTAAATGGAATGGTCTGGAACTTCTTCCCTCTGACGGTGGCCTCACAGATATAGGGCCCAACAGTGAAGGTTCCGTTAAAGCCCTGTCTGCTGTCGTAAGAGGCAAGCACCACCCCGTCACTGCTGAGTAAGGTCACCGGAGTATCAGGATCAGTCGTTCGACAAGGTATGATGGCAGAATCATCGTCTTCCACGATGACCAAGTAATCTGTCATTCCTAGAGGTACGAAGGCTACATCTGGGTCTGTGGTTTAAAAAAGGCAGGCAGATTAGGTATTTATTTCGCCTTTACACACATAAGCAAAACAATTACCCCTTTGGCACTAATCTTATTAAGAATGAATTTTGCCTTCACACATATGTCCAGAAGCTGTCACCCTACTGACACGAGTCATCATACTAGCTAAAAAGTGATTTTAAAGTATGAACAATGCCAAATTGTCTGTACCCTAATAAAAAATACTGATGATACCTATAAATAGTAGCCAGGAATTAAAATAAAAAAATTAAACAACTACTGGGCCGGCCGAGTGGCTGGTTGGTTAAGAGTTGGCTTGGGAGCATGAGCTCTGAGCAGCAAGGCTGCCAGTTTGGATCCCATGTGGGCCAGTGACACTGCCCTCTACAGCTAAGATGGTGAACAACAGCTCGACCTGGAGCTGGGCTGCTGTGAGTCGCTGGCAACAGCGTGGGCTGCAGCGGAGCTGCAGTGGGCTGCCGTAGGCTACTGTTAGTGGCTGGCAGACAGCGTAAGCTACCATGAGCCGCTGGGAGTGGCTGTCCAATGACTTGCAACAGATCTGCCTCAGTGGGGAAGAGCGCAATGATCACAATACCAACATGGGCCAGTGGGGCGACGTCCTCCACAGCTAGACTGAGGAACAAAGGGACAGACAGCAACTTGTCTGTTCCCCTTCCCCCGATTCCCCAACGCTGTTCCCTCCCCCAATTCCTCAATAAAATCTTAAAAAAAAAAATTAAACCACTAAAAACAAAAAAAATGGACAAAATAATCAAATTGGTTCAAAACAAGAGAAAATATTCATAATGTTTAAATTAGGAAAAGTTTTTTAAAATTCCTATCCCTGGTGGTCAGCTCATGGCTAAGCCTAATCAATCAGGGTGGCTGATGTGAGAAAGCATGACAGCCCTCCAACTGCAGGGGCCACGCAAGGCCACACCCCCCAGGGCCCCTTTAACAGCCAATGAACTACGTTGAACTGGGGTTCTTTAGGCTGGAGGACTCCCGGAAGTTCCCTAGAGGTGTAGGATTCATCTACCCCGCCTCCTCTCCTTCTCTCTTCGGCTCAGGGTCACACTTAGCATGCAGTCAGACAGCTCCCCCAGCCTCTGCTAGATCCCGCCCCATTTTCTCTCACAGGCCTCTCCCCTAATAAAACCCTTGCATGATTAATCCCATCTTACTCCTATCTTGGCATCTGCTTCTCAGAGGACAAAAGATAACATCATTACTATGGAATGTGCCCCTGATTTTTAATTAAAAAGAAAAAAAATCCCTTCCAATTCATCAAGAGTAGATATATATTTTATTGAATTTGAAAAATAGCATAGTTATTTGTAAACTATTGAGCTATAAGCAATTAGGCCTACCTAATTAATGTGCGTCCCCAACACTTAGCACAATGCCTGACATACAGGAAATGCATAGTAAATATTTGTGGGACTTAACTGCACTGAACAGAAATGAGCACATTTGAGGTTTTTTTGCATAACACCAAGAAAGGATATGCAACAATAAAAATGATTTTCAAAACAATATAGTTAACAATATAGTTAACAAAAATGTTAACAGTGAATATTTCTTGATAATGACATTACAAATGACCTTGACTTAATTTTGTGTGTTCCCCTGAATTTCTCTCTCTCCAATAAGCATTTATTCCTTTTCTATTTTTTAAAGTCTCTAATACAGTACACAGGAGAGTTACGACGACAACAAGGTTGGTCCAGGGGACCCACCCAGCTCACCTGGCACGTAGATGTAAATACGCCTGCCTTCAATCTCATTTTCTTCTGTCTGCGTGTGGTTGTAATAGCAAGTGTACAGTCCCGTGTGGGTTGCCGAGGCATTGACCACTTCCAGCACCGTCACAAAAAAGCCACTGTTGTTCTCCTCGTTTCTGATTTGCACATTGCGATTCTCGTCGGGCATGGGGTACTGCCAGCTCACTTCACTCTCCCCAAAGCATCGCAGAGAAAAGGATGAATTCAGCTGCACAACCTTTTCATTTTCGTTTGGGAGGATAGAGGGTAATGAAAGCTGGCAGAGGATTAGGCTCGGCCCTGTAAAAGGAAACAGGCTCTGAATAGGATGCAGCCAGAAGGGATGGTCTCACCCAGAGAACCGAGAGAAGCAACAGTAGCCGCTTATACGAACAACGACCATCTCTACACAAAAATCCGTTAGCCTGGATGCCCATGAAAGGCCCCCCATTATAAGAGCCATCGCATCTGCTGAGAGTAGCAAATGCTCCAAAGGCTTCAATAGCCACACCAAGTCCCCCAGATGCACCCCCCCAAACACTCAAATGGATAGAGGACGTCTGATTTCAATTCCATATTTCAGACTCTTATGTGGGACCATAAAATATCCCAAGATGGCATAGGCTCAAGCACATATGGGTTCTTTATTGCCCACATTCCCTGCAGAGGTTTCCCTTAAGGAGGACAGGGGCAGGGAGACTGACTGAACCAAGCACAAAGCAGATTTGTGCTCAAGAATTACACGTCTTCTGTTTCTAACAACACTCCAACATACCTTCTCTCTAATGACTTCCAGAAACCAAAGCAGGGCAGTGTGGATTTTCATTCAAAACTAAGAACAAGTAAAGCCCAAAAGTGAAAAGTCTATCTTAGAACCTAAAATTTCAGTCTAGTATCCCCTGTCTACAAAACTGATAGCAAGTACATTAAGACTTAATTGGTAATTAATGGTCTCTAATCTCCCTTGGAGCCCAGTGTTGGGATCCCAGCCATCTTCAATATATGCCCACTATGATTCCTGCAGCTTGTTAAGATGAAGATGTAAGCACATCTGGGTCACCTATCATCCTGTAGATGCTGTATAATTAGTGGAGTTTAGAACTACTAAATCACCAATCCTGCTCAATTCTACCATATCCATATAGATAAGACCTAAAGACACCAATAGGTGTAAGTTCACTCCCCAGGCTAGAAAAACATTGATTTCATGGTGAACAGCTGCAATGCATAGCTATCTGGATGATAACTAAGAAAAGTCCAATAAATACTTCAACAGATAGCTCCAACGGCATCCTCCTGCTGGAAAAGTTAGTAGGATTCCCAAGAGTCAAATATTCTATTAGATTCCAACAGAAAAGGTGACTCTAAGAGTTTCCAGCAATTGAAGCATCTTTCACTTAAGACAGGTATGATTACCTGGACAAGAATTTTCCTTTTTTTTTTTTTTTTGAACTTCTTGAATTTCTCTGATCCACCTCTTTTGGAAACCCATGTCTAAGAAAACGAAGAGGGTAGTGGGTAATTTAGACTATTATTCCTAACATTTCAATGCTTTGATTGACATATACTAAAATTGCCCCCTGGAGAACATTCTTTTTGAAATGGAATGAATGCAAAGGGAACTGAAGGTCACTTTAGATAATGTCCTGTAATTTTCTACTTCTCTTCACTCTTTTGGACTATTTATGCAGAGTACAGGTAACATGCCCCAGCACACAGAACTTAGAAAACAAGGCTTCCCCCAGGATAACGAACTTGGAGAGGACTGGGATGCATACCTGCAAGGAGGCAGCCTAACACCAGGAGTGCCAGATGGGAAGCCCCCATAGCTCTGGAAAACTGTAAAAGTCAAAAGACAAACAGAAACAGTATTAGCCATTAGAAATAACCCATGACCCTACTTCTCTCTGTGCTTTGAGCTATAGAAAATGTCAAGAGCATCATTTTAGTTAAAAAACATCCCAGCTGAGTCACGATTAAAACAATAAGATGCCTAAGAAGAATCAAATAACCTGATGGGGCTCCAAGCTATCTGAAGCTGAAACCCGTTTTGATTGCACGCAGTTTTCAAATTCCAAAATGTCTCACTTTATTGTCTTGGAATGTGTCCAAGAGTACAGGAGAACGGTTCCTTTTAAACCATTTCAATTAAGAACATGAAAAACAAAGAAGTAAACATATGTATTTACTCAACTTCCAAACTTGAGCTGTTTTCACTCACAATGGGTTGTCACATGCTTTGTTTCACGACAGAAAGTACATGAAGGTCAATATCCTCTACAACCTTCGGAAAAGATGCTTGGCTGGAACAAATTCCTCATTCTTCAAGAGCCATTCAGATCTAGGGTTTTTGAAAATCCCACTAACGAATGTCACTTAAGAGGATAATGTCACTTTGTGATATGAAGGCTCTGGCCTGTACCAGGCTCAAACCCAGCCCACATTCTCCTAGGACCTGCTGCACTCACAGTTCAGATAAACAAGGCTTGAAAACCCAGGGCACAGGAATGGAAGGAGGGGCAGTAAAGAAAGTGAAGGGAGAGGAAATGGGAGGGAGAAATGTGACTAAATTCCTGTTGTCTCAAGGGATGTAGCCGACCACAGGATAACATTCCATGGAGACTGATGACTCATTTTCATGTTAAGATAATAGTAGTACCTGCAGCAACCAAGTTCTGGGCTCTGATGTCCGACAACCAAATCTGTGAAAGGTAAGAGAAGTGCAGAGATTGAAATCGAATGTCCATAAGGCACAAGCAGGGAAAGCCGTGGTAAGGAAGGGAGACGGGGAGAGAGGAAAGGAGGGGTGGGGGAGGAAGGGAGGAGGAAAATTAAGGAACAGAAAAATTGAAGAGGGGCCCATGCTGCCCTGCCATAAAAAGCACCAAAAAGTCTCTTCTGGTCAACTCTCTGCAAAGACCCCTTTTCTTGATCTTTCTTTTCATGCACACCCCCAGTCACTTTATCTCCCCCTGCACTTCCCACAGGAAGTCATTGATCACGTGGTCTTACTGAAGGCAATGAAAAAGAACTCTAAATGGGCTTGCAGTTGTTGGGGCCACTGAGCACCCAAGTTTCAACTGAAGAGATCTGGGGTACACTGGATCCCTGAGTGGCCTGAAACCCAACGCGTGCAATGGAATGACATCATGGAACTTAATTTGTTTCATCACTGACTTTGGAAACTGTGTGTCCACGATTCCTGAATAAACTGTCTAAAAAGCAAAACAAAAAAAGAAAAAATTCAACGTACATTTGCTTAGCTCTAGTTGTTTGTTTTTGTGTTTCTTTGGACAGAATCCAGTACATAATAGCCTAGTTTTTGGTGGTGCCCGACCATTAATTTTTGCTTTACAATGGCAAGGTGATCTACTTGCAGAAATCCGATTTCTGCTTCATTGAATTCTACCAGGAGAATGGAGGAGGAAAAAAGATGAAATGCTGGTAACGGGGAAGGGGGTGAGTTGGACAGGAAAAAAATAATCATTGTTTTCTCCAAGGCGGGAATGAGAAACCAATATTTACTAAGCTAAAGTTTTCATGTGTATGCTGTGCTGGTTATATAATAATAACAACCCTGTGACATATTCAATTTTAAGAAGTGGCTGATGAGGCTCAGAGAGGTTTGGTGACAAATCCAGGATTCTAACACAAAATCTGTGTGATGCAAAAGCTGTTCTCTCTCCAATCCACCACATGGGTCTCTCTTAAGAGAAGGTCACTGTTTCAGCCTTGTGTGTCTCCTCCCCAACCCCCTAACCCCCATCCCCTCCCCCACCCCAACTATTTCCTAATGAAGAGTGGGCCCTGCTTTCCCTCTCTGCTCACCACAGTGAGAGAAGCACAATTTCAGTGCTCTGAACCCAAATGTGATTTGCACAATGCTGGCTGGCTGATGGCTTCTGAGGATCCTGGCATGTGCCTGGGGATGCAGGGTTTTTATGCTGCTGAGGTGATGGGCACAGCGGGCCCAGAGCCATGATGGCCAGCCTGATTTACCTCAATTAGCAGTAAGGGCTTGTGTGTTTGTACATATAAATATCAGCCTCCCACTGATAATCCACTTAGCGAACTTCAAAGGAGCCCTCCAGAGCCAGCTTGCTCTCTTGGGTTTTATCACATTTATATCCTGTATTTCTTTAGCAGAGCTTGCCAACGATGCATCTTTAAAGCATTCCCCAGCTTAAGAGAAAGGCTTGCTGCTTTTTACGGGGCAGGCTCTGAGCAGCATTTTGCCCTGCTGAGGCCCCACCAGATTTCCTTCTGTGTGTCCTGATAGGCTGGACCCGCTGCCAGGTATGACACTTACTGACATACAAAGTGGGCAATGAAAACAGGGCCTCTGGAGCCAGCGATAATGATGCGAATACTGAGAATCAACATGTGTTTGCTTAAGATTTCAAACTCCCTTCTCTGATCAGAGTGGTCCCCTGGCCAGAAACCCAGGCAGATTTGTGAAGTTTCATGTCATTACTAATCCGTAACTCAGACAATTTACTCGTGAATAATTGCAGAGTGTTTGCCCTACCAGTAGGTAACAGAGAACAACCAACTGGAGAGGACAGAGGCTTCCTTGCCTAGTGACCCTGTAGTGACACTCTCTAGGAGTCTTGCTACTTCTGGCACTTTTCTACTAGGAATAAGCACTCATTCTTAACCAGGAGCCCCTCTCCTGAAGCTCATCCAAAAATCAGATGTGCAAATATAAGTAACTGACATTACAAATTCAGAGAAACATGGCACGTTATGAATCAGCACGAACAAATTACTATGTGAGGAACAATAAATTTTATCCAAAGCTCTTTTCTAAAAAAATCATAATCATTTCTCTCATGCCAACTATGTGTTGGACTTCAGTCTCAATCCTCTATAGTCACAACTCAAAAACTTTTGCCACCAGTTAGAGAAACAAACAGGAAAAGAGCTCCCTGCCACATTCCACTTCAGGTTAAGTGACTTGTGAGCTTCCCTACACCTCCACCCGCCATGTTCTTGTCCTTCTCATTCCTTCTCTCAGAAGATATGATGGAAATCCCACTGGACTGGGCTCTGATCCCATATCTGACACAGTGCATCTCTCTGAACCTCACTCCCTTTTATAAACCAGGACTAATCACGCCTGACTTGCTAGCTTGCCTTTACTACATTATTGTAAAGATTAAATTGTATCCTTTAACTACAAGGGCTTTGAAAACTACAGCTATTGATTTTCATATTGACTCATTTTCTGCAGACTCCTCAAATGTTTTAGATAAGGGAACATCAGAATGGCTACTTCAACTTCTCCTTCCTGAGAAAGTCAGGCCCCAGAGGACCTGTGACTGGCCTGGCACCATCTGCCTGGTGGAGAAGCTGATCTGAACGCAGAGTCAGCCCAGGCCTGGTGTAGCTATCAAGACAATTTTCAGTTGAGCCAATACACAGTCCCACAAACAGAGAAACAAATCTGTTTGCAGTCATAATTCTTTCTCTTTAACAGGTTGCCATCTTGTCTCCACAAACAGAAGTGAAGAGCCATTGAGTGCGAGTCTATAACCAAAGACAACATGCTAAGCTAGAGCGCAAACAGAGAGCAAGCAATGCGAGGGCCCTATTTCCAGAAGTAAGCATTATTCTCATAAAGCCACAGAGCTAGCTTCCCGGTCACCAACTGCACAATGCACCCACTGCAGAGCCGCTGAATATTGAATTTCACCCCACCCTGGCATGATTAAAGGCCACAGGAGACTCTCTCACAGTCCCAAAAGCCACTGACGACTTCAAGAGTCAGATTTCCGAGGTTTTGTTAATTTCAGCTCTCCTAAGTTAATTCTAACTGTGAAAATTACATATCCTGTTTTTTTTCCCCCCTGTGACAAATGTTGTACTCAGTCTCATAACTTCAGCCCAGGCAATCCCAGTGCCAGTCTACACTGGTGGCAACTTCACAGAGGGTGTGTTGACAAGGATCTATATCCCACTGGAGCCTGTTTTGTTGTTTTGATCTCTCTGTGCTCCATTAGACATTCCAGCGATGGGTGGGGGCTGGAGTATTTTTACATGGGAGCATTTTATGGGACAATCTAAGCTCATAAACCTTTCTGCTCTCCCTGCACGAGATACGCACATTTAACCACAGGAGACTAACATGACACTTCCTTTTGATTGTTGCCAAACTGGTGTGACTCTTAACGGGATGATCTTAGTTGTAGCAGCTTGTAGGAGTGCACTAGAGCTTGAGATCACCAGGCCTCCGACACAAGGGCTTCACTCTTAAAAGGGAAATGCAAAATCTGCTCTGATAATCAGAGGTGGTAGGGCCGCACTTTGCTCGTAGCATAAATGCCAAAGATTAACAACTAAGGCAAAAAACTACATAAAGGTCCACAAAATAAACGCTGTCCGCCCAGTGATTCTTGCACCTTGATAATAAGAAAAGAAAAGCAGTCATCATTTTTCACTTGGTCCTACCCAGCCAAAAATGCATCTTCCTGATGCCACAACTCGCTTAATCATCTCCGCGAAGCCCATTCCCGCAGAGGGTTACTGCAGTTCTCAAGTGTGGCCAGCAGATGGTAGTGTTGGTCAAGGACTTGGATCAAGGGGTTCGTGGGGACGCAGACACCTCTGCAACTTCTGTGCTAAAATGTCCCAAATCTTAACTTCCAATCTTTTCCTTTCTTGGGTTGTACTTCTAGGTTTCGTGGTGACCTCAGTTCCAAGCCCACAGGCTGGAAGCTGGAATGGACTGCGGCTGAAACTGTTTAAATCTCCGCGGGACCCCAGGAGAATTCGGTGGGCAGACACCATCACCATCATCACTGCGGGCGGAGGCAGCAGGGCCTCGGGAGCCTGGAAAACGACTCTACCGTCCCAGGCCACAAAAGTTCAGCAGGAAAAGCCACTCGAGAGGAGGCTGGATGGTTCAGGGTTTTGTTTAGCCAATGCTCTCTACCTCGGAGTGTCCGCCCACTCGGGGAAGGAGGCCACCTGGGCCGCGCTGGGTGGGGGGTCGCGACGCCATTGCCAGCCCCGCACTGCCCAACCTGTTCACACGCCATTGTCACCCCTCGTAAACCCGCCCCGGGCGGGGGCCGCGACGGCCGCGCAACCGAGAATCATGGGCTGATTGGAAACGACTGTTCTCGTTGCACAATAACGCGGGGTCGTAAAACAAACCGCCACAGGCCTCTTGCGCGGCAGAGGAACTAGTGAGGAGCTGGAAAACAAAAGTCGGCTACTACTCCCCCAAGAGCGCCCAGGACCCTCTAACCTCCGCTTTTCCCACATTTAATTATTATGACGCCCCACCTTCATCCTCAAACCCAAGTAACTCTACGTCCCCCCGCCCACCCAGCGCCTGCCAGGCCCACCCGGTGCCTGCGAGGCGTCTATTCGAGCCCTTTAGAAACGAGAGAGGTGACCGGGTTAGTATTTCTGGGCCCCTTTGGTCTCAGCGGGACGCTCCGACGCGGCGGCTGCAGTGCGGACCGCCGGAGGCTGGCGGAAAGCCGGCCCGCGCTCCGAGGGCCAGCTAGAGGGCGCAGCAGCCCCGCGAATCTTACCGGCTGGCTTGTTCCCTCTCCTGTCCGCCGCTCAAATTCCGGGTCTCCGACAGCGCAGCCGAGACCACGGCTCTCCCACTTTCGCCGGGGAGTTTTCGCACTGACACGGCCCGGCCCCCTGCCCCCACCACACCCACACGTACACTGAGCCAGCCGCTTCCCTTCCCGCCGCTTCCACACCCTCCGCGGCTCGGTCACCCTGGGGATGGTGGTGACGACCTCGAGCTCCGGGATTCTGCGCTCCGGCCCGCCGCGCTCCTGGCTTCAGAGCTGCAGCGGCCGCTGAGCCCCAGTCACGAAGCTTGGCGTTTGCATTGTTTTCGGTTGAGACCTGAGGGGGGCCGGACCGGGTGGAGGGAGAGGGAATGGGCGGGGTGGAGGGAGAGGGACCAAGGGTTTAGGGTTACAGTCGCGTGCCAGCGCCTCCTATGGGCCTGAAAGCGACACAGCCGCGGGCAGCTGCTCGCGGAGAAGGCCGGGGCGAGCTGAGACTGAGCCCCCCCATCGTTTAAACCGGGCCTTCCCAAGTAACCCCCCTAGCCTGACGCTCCCTTTGGCCGTGGCTGCCCAGCGCGCACTCGCGCCCGCCTGCGCCTCTCGCTCCCGTTTCTCGGGGAAGGGGGACTACAATAGGAAGGGAAGGAAGCACCCCAAGTCTGAGGTCTTCTTTATCCCCTCCGTTCTACCTATCTAACCGATCCCTGGCTCACTGTTCAGTTTTAACCAAAAGGAAATGCCGCCGAGCCACTTCAGCAAAAGACTAGTACAAACTGAGCCCGGACTAGAGCACAGTGGGCATAAACAATTTGCGCCCGACCCCGCATCCCGCGCGGGGATCGAGCCCGCAAGACCTCCTCCGTCACCCCTCGACGGCAGATGTGGCGCGCGGACCCCGAGAAAACGCATGCGAGGGATGCTGAGAGCCGCACCTTTCAGTCACCGAGTAGGATTTTTGCTCTGCCCAGAATTGTCAAGTTTCCATCAGCGGCATGTAACCTTGTCGCGGCTCCACCGAGGCCAGAGGGAGTCCCACCCGCTGGGCTTTGCAGGAAGGCGCTGGCCACCACGTCTCCAGGACGCGTCCCAGCACTGCGCGCCGCCCACGGCCCGTCCCCAGGAGGCACAAAACGGGACTGCCTCGGCGCCAGACGCGTTTGCAACTGGAAAGCCCTGCCTGATGCCCCTCCCCCTTCACCCCTCCCCAGCCCGCGCCCTGGGAGGAAAGTGGACCTGGGGCGGAGAGTGGGGAGCTGGGGCTATGCTTCGGGTCCCCCTCGGTCTATCTAAGGCTTGTGCAAGGGCCGAGAGTCACCTACAGGTCTCACCCCCACCTCCTTCTGTCTGCCCCCCGACCCCGCTCTCAGGACTCCAACCCTGGAGTCCAGCTACAGTGAGTCAAACCAAAAGCAAGACTGTGCAAGAGCCCCAAAGCGAGGCTGATCGTGCCCTCGCCTGTCGGGGAGCCGAGGAAGGGCCCCCTTTATCGTGAGGATTGAGGAAAAGAGGAAGCCGGGAGGGGGGGGGCGGCAGAGAGAAAGAGGGAAGGGATGCAAAGCAGCAGCACCAGAATCCGGGTGGGTCAGATGGCGGGGTGGGGGGGGGAGTTGTAAAAACCACAGCCAGCGCGGCAGCAGACGAGGTGCGCCGGTCCTAGGCGCCCCCTTCCCTCTAGCGGCCCCGGGGCCCACTGGGCCCTGAGGTGTTAGTGCGGGGAGCTGTGCGGGTGACTGTCGTGCCTGTTTGCCCTGGATGCCTCTCTCTGTTCTAAAAAGCTGCCTAGCTCTGGTTGGGAGCGAGCATGACGAGGCGAGACGGTCCAAAGGTTGAGCAATTCGGCTGCAGAGCCAAAAAAACCATTTCCCACACCGCCCAGCCCCGGGCTTTTCCAGGCAGCTCGGCCAGTCGCGGGGCAATCCGGACCTGATAAAGGCCGTCAACCCTCTCTCTCCAACCCTTGTTTGCCTCTCACGGAGAGGAGTAGAACGTTCTTCCAGGCACTCTTTCTGTACATCTTGAAGTCTTAGCAGGGTAGGGAAGCAAAGTACCGGGCGGGCGCTCTGGCTGCAGGAGAAACGGACAGAGCACAGACAGCCCAACACTTCCTTCCCGGCCGAGACGCTTGGCCAGGCCACTGGCAGCTCCTGCACACCTGGACAGGTTGCCGGGGTTCCTGGCCCCTTCCGGCAGCCGTACTCAGATCTGGCCACATTCCCTCTCGCTTTGAGCTGCCCGCGACCACCCTTTCCTAAAAGAACCGCTGATCCCAGTTGTTTCCGAGCCAAGTGGCCGCCGCCCGCTCCCCTTGCGCTGCAGGGAGAAGTTAATCTCACGAGTAAAAGCCTATTTCCTTGGAGATAGACCTCGGAGGCAGGAGGGGCGCTAGGAGACCGCTCCGCAGGGGGCAGAGAAGCCGAAGCAGGGAGCGGAAGAGAGACTGGAGGTACTGGAGAGGATGAAGCCGCGCAGGACTAGTGCACGGGGCGAGTGCCACGCATTCCAGCTCGTAAAGGGGCATGCAAGGAAGGTCTACGGCTCAGGGACCCTGAAGGAGGTGGTGAGAGCGGTTGGCCTCCCTCTTGTCTTACCTGGAACCAAGTTTCTCCGTTCCGAGTCATCCCTAACTTCCCCACAAGAAGTTCAGCACTTTTCCTGGCGACCGTCCTTCTTTCCTTCCAGCGGCCGGGTCTGGGCAGCAGCAGAGCCCCGGGCTTTGCAGGAACGAGTCCACGGAGGAAGGGGGCGCACACTATGGGTGGGGGTGGGGAGTATAGCGCACAATGAGGGCCCCTTGGAGCGCAGTTCAAAATTCCTCAAATCCGGGTTGCTGGAATGCGAGGCGACGACGACTTCTTCACTCGGGGCCAAATGTGTTTGTCATTACTCCAGACTGCCTGCCTGCCCGCCCGCGCCGCCGTCGCCCCCGCGCTAAGGCGCGCAACCCGAGCGCTCTGCGGGACTGGCGCCCGTTCTCCCTCGCACTTCACTAATCCCACAAACCACTGGGGAGCTCCCCAAACCCTCGCCCAAGTCCGCGCCCCCTCTGCTCGTCTTGCAGCCTTCACGGTTGTCCTGAGTCTGGCCTCGGCTCGCACCCGGCGCAGAGCCGTCCAGTAATTACGCGCCCTGAGCCGGCGCTGTGTGCGCCCAGCAGCACCCAAGGTCCGGCCTCCTCCAGCCGAACCCTTCACGCCTCCCCTCCACGCAACCCCTCCTGCGCCCCACTCGGCGCTCTCCTCTCCCTCCTCCCCCGGTGCTCCAGCCGCACTCCACGCCACCGGCTTGCAGCGTTGTCCCGCCAAACCGCGAGCGAAGAATGAAAATACTCATTAAAAACCTGTCGCCTTCCAGGACCCACTGCCAAAAAGAAGGCAAACACCTCTGCCCCCACTCTCAGCATTACTTGGTGCTTGTCCCAGTATATACTAGTACCACCCTCAACCCCACAAGAAACCTCAAAAATGTAAGCCTAAACAATTTCTTCGGGAGGCCATAGAGTTGTTAGAAAAACAGTTTTTAAAAATAGGTCTGGAAAATGTGTGTGTGTGTTTTTTTTATCCCTAGACTTTCGAACTCTATGGCTATCTTCCCTCCAAGTGAAGTTTATTCAAAATAAGTTATTATCTGGACACACAACTGGAATTCAATTCCAATTTTGTTTTGTTCTGTTTTGTTTTTTCTCATCGCCCAAAGTTTGAGTGAAGTTACTTCACTTTTTGCCCAAAGGGCCTGACAGGGACTTCTCTTAGAAACAAAAATCATTTTTTTTTCTTCTCCCTTACCTTCTCTTCCTATGTCAATTCGCAATGAAAATCCTACATATGCAGTAAAAATTGTGTCCACGGCCTCCAGTCCTCCCCTGTAGTTCCTTCCCTCCTCTGTTTCTCTCTCTAGTTCCAACTGTAATGGGCTCAAAAACCGCGTTTTGTAATTGATTCAATGTTATAGTCCATCCTTCTAAAACTAATCATTTGCTCTAAGTAAATAGCTGTCAGGAAATGAAGCCCCCCCCCCTCCTCGGGCCTCTTCAAAATAAAAGTTTCCTCGCACTGTGCGCTCTGAAATCTCCCAGCCTTCAGATTGGGCCTTCGCGTTTTGCTCTTATGCAATCAGGGGGTCCAGCCCCAACCCCCAGACTTCAACAACTGGGGGGAAGGAGGCGGGGAGAAGTATACCAGATGGGGTGGGGGTGGTGGAAGGGGGAGGTGTTGATGCTTTGCTGGGAAAGAGGTTCATGAAAATACAGACTGCCCATCATTTCTAGAATGAGTTTGCCTCCTGATTTGGGGATATTTCCCTGCTCTGTTATATTGCTTCGTATTCTCTTCGAAAGAACGAAAAAGAACACGTAAAATCGCATTTAATGCCCAGAAAGAATGTAAATCTGAAATCGAAAAAAAATCGAAAAGTGTCCCTTCTGTCGAAATTCCCAGCCGAACTAGAAATAGGGCCCTCGGCAGAGGTCTCCAAGCGGTTGCGTCGTTTTGAACCTGGGGTCTTTTAGGGAAAGTGCCGTGCAGTTGCTAATCGCTTAGTGGGATTAGACAAACTGTTGAGTCCAATATGAGGATGCTGGGTGTTTTTGTTTTGTTTTGGAAAATGGGTTTGGACGAGGGTACAGAGAATCGAGGGTCTGCGTAGGTTTGGAACGTTCTCTGCCAGAACGACCTTTACTCCCTTGGAGCCACTTATCTTGTCGTGCCTTTGTTTTCGGGGTTATCTGGGCGAGGTTGCCCTGGCTTCTATCACGTACACAAAAAGGTTTAGATTTGGGCGTTTGGGGAATTATCTGTGACAAGCCCTCCACCCCACGTTCAGGGGGAGGTGCATTTGGACCCTCTCCGAGCTCCATCGCGCTGCACGGGTCAGACCCTTCCAAAGTCCTGGGGTTGAGAGCCCCAAACCCTATTCCCAAGGCACCAGGCAAGAGACAGTGCGGGGAGAGAACGATCCAGCTCGCTAAGGAAAGGGGGCGCTGACGCTCTAGGAACCAGACCTGGGCGGAGTGGAGCTTTCGAGAGAGGGCGGGGGAGGGGAGCGCATTCACCTCTTCGCCTTCTTTAATTTTGAATACTCTTGTTGGGTGGAGGGCGGGGTGGGGGGGGGTCATCCTTTACACCCACCTACCACCCACACTCTCAGAAAGGCCTAGGCGGCCAGGTTGAGAATGGAACGTCGGACTGCCATCACCTTTCTCCCTCATCAGGAGGGTGGACACGGGACAGCTGGCAGGGGAGGGTCACAGAGAAGTACTCCAAGGCTTGCTGTGCTTAACTGGGACGGGCTCCTGGGGTGTCAGGATCGGGAAGACGCCCGGGGCTGCGCTAGGGGCCCTATTTCCCAGCCCTTCTGCGCGCCGCCCTCCGTGCATCTTCAGTTCGGGTGACTGCACTGCTCACTATTACTTCCACATGTTCCTTCAGGAAATCATTGAAGGCAAATATATGAACAGTCCCTTGTTCGGAATGCTAACAGGATACCGTAATGTTTGTAGATAACGAACGAGGACCAAGGACCCCAAAAATATCAGAGTGCGGAAAAATAAGGAAATGCCGGTGCTGGCTTTCATGCTATTAATAAAGCCAAGTTGATATCTAGGTTTTTATACCAAGTACCCAAGAAGGTAGGAGGCGAAGCAGGGAGCTACCCAGGAAGGCCTGCTCCGCTACCCGGAAAGTGCCAACCCGGTCGCAACAAGGTCTCCTGAACGCAGGACCCCAGAGCTTCCCGCGCACAAATAGTCGTTTCACAGTTCATTTCAGAGACTCTTAAGGGGGATTGAAAAGGGGGCTGGGCGGGGGTGTCTTCGGGCCGTTACTCCTCGCGAGTTTAAAGTAGAGCGAATGGATGAGTAAAGTGAGCACCGAGTTGTCCTTCTGGTAGTAATTACCTGCCTAATTTGAATGATGCCTTTGTTATGATCATTAACAAACATTTGCTAAAGGTTTCCATGTGTGACATTCCAGAAGGTTTAAAGGCCTGGGGAGCTGACTCCCCGGACAGCGCCCTGGCTGGGGGTGACGCAGGGAAACAAATGGTCGGGGGAGGATTTCGCAGAGTCTGGACTGAGCAAAGATGGAGAAGAGGTCAACATCTGCCTTCCCTGCCGAAGCAAAATAAACCCAGTGGTCGGGAGCAACCTGGGGGCTGGAGGTCCACGGAGAGGGGCGGTTCTTTCCTGTAAACGAGTCCTGCCCGCAGCCCCCAGCCGCCCGCCCCTCCCATTGCTAATAGGCGAGTTTGAATTTTGCCATCCGCCCTCCGCCGCTGCTTGGAGACTTCGGGAGAGGACGGGTCTGCGCGCAGCCGACCGCCGGGGCGTCGGGGGGAGGTGGCGCTGGCCAGGCCGCGTTCTGCTCGTGTTGTTCTAAGATCTTTCCAGATTGCTCCCCCGTCTCCCGGGGACCTGGGTGGTCCTGGAGCCGCAGCGGGCAAGAAGCAGCGCCGGGCCAAGACGGTCTGCGGGGTCTTTTCTCCTCTCCCTCGGCTTCTGCCCCGTCCGCCGCGGGCGATCAGGCCGCCCTGTGCTCCCCGAGGAGTGACCCTCGCTGGACTGGGCAGCTGTGAGAAGTTCCCAGCTCGCACCAGGAAATCGGTTTTCAACCTCTTGTGTGTTTCCTTAAGGGATCATCATGGGGTTAAGAATGAGGGTTTTCTCCCCAAAACGGGAGTCTGAGCTGCTGCGACGTTCTCAAAAGGGAGGAGGCCCAACTCCGGAGCTGAGCAGGGCCGGGCAGTTTGGGGAAAGCGGCGGTGCCGGCGCGGCTTCGCGCGTCTAGGCCCGCAGGCAACATAAAATTGGCTGCGAGGGTATAAAGAGACGTAGCTGAGCCAGTCATCAAAAAGAGGGCCCCACAAACTTTTTACAACCAAATCAAAATGGTCACTGAAAACAAAAACAATCTCCCCCTGCCCTGCCTCCCAGACTTGCTCTTTCGGCCCCCGCCCCTCGGTAACCGCGGCTGCAGCTCTGGGCGTCACACCTTCGGCTTTCGTGGGCGTTTCCCAGTGAGTTGGCTTTTTGTTTCTTCTCCTCTTTTGCTGTCAGCTCCACCCCCCCAATTCTACTTTCCTCGGAGAATTCGGCAAGTCCTTTTGCCTTAGAAGACCTAGGGCTGTAGCAGTTATCAAAGCGGTTAGTTGTGAAAATCACATGTAAACAAACGTGATTTTTTAATGGGGGAGGGGCAGAGTTCTAGCTTCCTGATTTGAAAGTGAAGGGCCGTTTGGTGTTTTGCCAAAGAAAACAACGCTAACTGCCCCTTCCCCCACACCCTTCAATTCTTGATTGCGAGCCGCCTCCCTGGGCCCAGTGAAGGGACCTTCGTAGGGAAGACTCGGAAAAGGCTTGTGGATATGACACGCAGATGTGGGGTCTCCCAGGGGAGACCGGCGAGAACTCCGCCTTTGCCTCGGGTCTGAACCAGCTGAGGCTTGGAAGCTCGCTCCGAGCCTCTATGCGCTCAGAATTCAGAGACGCCCAAGTTTTGGCCAAGGAGTTCGAAGAGTTCTCCAAAAGGGTCCCCATTGGCATGTGTAACTTTGGGGACAGTTCTCTCCCCAGGCCTCCTCTTCTGTTTGCTGGCTGGATCTAAGGGTGCGGCGGCTCTTCTTGGTTCCTTGGGGCTCTCTCTCTAGAGATTTGTCTCCAGAAAATAGAAGGCAGTTCCCTGCGGCTGGGGAGCAGCTGCACCCTCTCCTAAGGTTCCTAACACCGCTGCCTGCTTAGTGACCTCAATGAGGACCAGAGACTGAGCTCTGTTTGTGGGGTCCCAGCCCAGGTGGGCCTGCACTCCTCAGAGGTAGGAAAGATGTGGATGCAGCTAGGTTTTTTATACCATTTTCCTAGGGAGAGAGCCCCACTTCCTCAATACTTCGGTGCCTCCTACTCCCCTCTGCCCCTCTTTAGGCCTTAGCTTTTAGTTACTTTTAATTTGAAAACCCCTGTAAGGGAGGAGGAGGAACTGAAGAGATTGGGAGGTCTGCTCTCTATTAGGGGCCTCAGCCATCCAGCTTTCCAACACACAGCTGTGGCTTGGGAGGGGAAGGGGGGCTGGCTCTGTTTAGGTCAGCCTGACTGAAGAAGGGGCCTTGTCCTCTAGAAGTCCCGGGAGTACAGCAGAGCCCTGTGATGTAAAAAAAAAAAAAGCTCCCAGCAAAGCAGTGTTGTGAAGTAGAAAGCCAGTGGAACCTGGGTTCCACAGTTACATGAAATATAGTACACAAGTTTGAATATGAGCCACATTAGTTAATCAGGGTATTATTTTATTTACTAGACAACTGCCTGAGTTTTACATGATTATTCCCATTTAATAGATGAGGAAACAAAGTCAGAGGAGCTAAGCAATTTGCATACAGCAGTGCCAAGAGCTGCCTAACCATGTCCTGGTTCCAGTTACTGTGTGATCTGGTCAAGATAAGTCATGTCTCTGAGGCACAGTTTTCTCAATATATGAATGGGCATAATGTCCTCATTATGTCCCTAGATTATTATGAAGATTAAATGAGTTGGTGTATATGAAGCCCAGGGAGAAGCTAATAAATTTTATCTTTCTCTTCCTTTTTCAAGCTTTGCCACAGGCACAGTCACTGTCACACTCATCTTTAGTTCTCTTGGACTGGCCTCAAGAGCTGGGTGAAAGCCAGTCTAGTTTTCTATTTCATCTTCTCAACTAATGGCGGGGTGAGGGGCAACTTGGTTCCCAGCTATTACTCTCCAATGTCTCAGGCCCTCTCAAAAACGAGCCCCAGGCAGAAAGGCAGAAGGAGATGGAGCCACGAAGGATCAGAGAAAGCAACTGAAAATGAGAAAATAGGCCTGGCACCACCAACCAGAGAGTCTTTAAGAAAACCAGGAAGAAGGAAAGCTGAGGCCTCAGCCTGCAGAAACTTGGGGTGAGGATCAGTGAGGAAACCCCTGGGGTGACTTGAAGGGTTGTGCACCAGACACCCTGATTTTTTAAAATG